GGAGGTTGCAGTGAGCTGAGATTGCACCACTGCACTCCAGCCTGGGCAACAGAGCAAGACTCCATTTCACTAAAAAAAAAAAAAAAAAAAAAAAAAGAAAAAGAAAGAAAGAAAAAGAAAAAAAGTCTAAAATGTGGATATGGTAAATAGTCTGTCAGCAGTTTGAAGCCTGGGAGTCAAAACATGGCTTCATAAGAGGAGGGTTCAGAATTAGAAGTTGGCTCTTTGATTTAAAAGGGAAAAAAGGACTTGAGCATACAATTACACAGACCTGAGGATGGGCACAGTGGCTCATGCCTGTAGTCCCAGCACTTTGGGAGACCAAGGAGAGTGGATCGCTTGATCCCAGGAGTTCGAGACCATCTTAGGCAACATGACAAAACCCCATCACTACAAAAAATACAAACAACCAGGCATGGTAGCATGGGCCTGTGGTCCTAGCTACTCAGGAGGCTGAGATGGGAGAATGGCTGAGCCCAGGAGGTAGAGGCTGAAGTGCACCATGCACACCACTGCACTGCAGCCCGGCTGACAGAGTAAGACCCTGTCTCATAAATAAATAAAAGTAAAAATAATTTTTTTAAAAGCCCATGTATATTCTTCCCCCCTAAAAATGTCAAATAGAATGGATTTGACTTTAAATGCTACAAAATAGGAAAAATAATTAAATCCAATTACTGCTAACATAGTTAACAGACTGGTATTTAGGCGATATCAAGACATAAATTGAGGAAATATTATAGCCAGGGGATATTAGAACTGCTAACACCCCTGAGTTTCTTCATTAGTTCTGGTCCAAAATGTACCATAAATTAGATTCTGTGTTGATTTTGAATGATAACCTGCTAAACCATAATGCTCCTTCGCTTAGAGTGGAATTTGGAATTGTTAAGGTCATCTCAACTACAGATTTGTTTAGGTTCCTACAAATAGTACTAGAAGAAAACTAGATGAAGCAACTGGGTTTCTCTGTAAGAGAAACAACTGGAAAACCCAGCTTGGACAACAGTAGCCCCAGAGAGGAAGGAGGGTCTGCAAAACACAGTTGTCATAGTGTGATCAGGACACAGCTATGAGAATGAATGAATTGCCAAAATTCCCCTAGAGAAGACAAACTTCTTTTCCTAGGCAATCATTTTCTACATTAGGGTGTACAAAGCTAAGGTCTTTTAGTCCTTGTATCCCTCTACTCAAGACTGGAGGGAGCAGTCAACTGGCCTAGCTGGCATCACTAATCTTCCTCTTGAGGACCAGTCCCACCTGATTACAACTGATGGGGAAAAAGAAATCCTCAAATGATGATGTTTGGAAGGGGAAGTGGATGCTGTACAGAAAACAACAGCATCCTGGAAACCCCCAGCGCTTGGATGGAGGGGCATTTCTGCCTCTTTCCTTTGAGAAATTACATCTGCAAAGACATTGAATGTTCTGTTAGTGGACTAAGAACAATGATATAAGCCACATGATGAATACTATATTTGACTAGAAGTAGAAGATCAAGGACATCCAGTATGGATCCTAGGTGCAATCCTTTAATGTAATCCTATGGAATAAAGTATGAAAAGCAAAAATGAACTTTCAGAGTTCAAATAACCAAGACAGGAAAATGGAAAACTAAATTCCCATAACAGCAACAACAAAAAAAGCCAGTCATCTCACTTGGAAAACTAATGAGTTATTATCAAAGGCTTATCTTTCATATATGGGAACAAGTTGGTCCATCATAATTGATTAGAAATAAAACAGACACCTGATGAGATTATCCAGATCCACAGAGTCAGAAAATTTCTGAAAAACAGAGACATGATATGAATTATTTAAGAGTTCTAAAGAGACTCAGACTTTTCAAACCTTTTTATGATATCAGGTGACACATCAATTACTGATTTGGGGATAATTTTATTACAAGATCATGATACTGTAAAACATTCTGTAATGCACCCCAGTTGAAAATGATTGCCAAGGGAAAGAAATTTATTTGTCTTCTTTAAAGAAAGAAAGTTTGGCAATTATTTGAGCCATAACATCGTTGTTTAGAAGAGTACCCTGAGGACTGATCATTAAGCCTTAATACTTGGATAAAAACTACCACTGAGGAGCAGATGTGGCTATAGAAGATTTCAGGACTTCTAAATAAATATTCAACATGTTCCTCATTGGTAAAAATCCTATAGAGGACGCCTCATAAAAAATAGAGCCTCTTAATGCATCTCAAGAGTCTATCCTAATAGGACATTATACTCATAATCTTTTCCTGAAATTAAAGCAGTTTCACTTTTTAAAACATAAAAGAAATTTTTTAATTCAAAATTTTTAACAAGAGCTGAGATCTCTGCAAAAAAAAAATCATCCATGTATATTCTGCCCTCCCTAAAAAAAAAAAAAAAAAAAAAAAAAAAAAAAAAAACTGATTTGACTTGAAATGCTACAAAATAAAAAATAATTAAATCTAATTACTGCTAATATAGTTAATAGACTGGTATTTGGGAGACATCAAGACATAAATTCAGGAAATATTAAAGCCAGGATTTATTATAACTTCCATTATGCTTGGGCTTCTTCATTTGTTCTGGTCCAAATGTTTGAGCCATAACATCATTGTTTAAGAGAGTACGCTGGGGACTGATCATTAAGCCTTAACACTTGGATAAAAACTACCACTGGGGAGCAGAGGTGGTCACAGAAGATGTTCCTGCCCACACTGGAAACTTGAGATGCCCCAGTATCTCCAGTCTGTTCCCTGGTCTCAGTGGTGGGAGTCAGACACACACAGGGGAACAGGCACACTATGGCCATACAAAGACAAGATTCAGTCAACATAAAACAAGGAGAAACCTCTCTTCAGCCTCTAAGAAGCCCCAAGATTAGTCCTGAGAGCAATATTTGTAAAAGAAAGATAAGGTTTATTTGCCATAAAAATAGGACTGATGTACCAATGTCCTCCCAGCACTAGACAAAAGCAAACAGCCTTGGAAGTATCTGCTGAAAAAATGGATCTGAACACACCCCTGAAGTCTTCCAACAAAGACCAGACACCACTTGGCCTTGTGATCTCAGACCACCCAACACCATCATCCAACTTCCTCATTCGAAATTCAAATTTAACCAGGCTCTTCCCTAATACTGGCAAGATAGACTTCCTCACCTTGAATATTGATAGTATCTGTCTACCCAAAATTCCTAGCCTGGTGAAAAAGACTTCTTATGAACATCTTTACTTCCTCTCTAGTCTCCCTTGCTACTATCCTCTCCCCAACCCCACTCCTACCCTTATTGCATCCAAGCTTCTGTCTCACACAATGACCTATAGGACTACAAGCATTCTATGACATTTCTAGCCCTGGGACCTTGGCAGATTTGTTCTCTCTGCCTGGAATGTCCTTTCTACTCTTTGCTCTCGTTTTTCTTGTGGCTCTCAGTATTGTTTCCGTATTCAAATTCAAGCATTCTGTTTTTCAGCATTCAACTTCACATGATCTCTCCTGGTTTCCTTAAACATTCCCCACTGTTAAGTTAGGTACTCCCGTTAATTTTCCCTAGCCCTCTTGCAATTAAAGCACATATTTACTTGTCTATGTTTCCATAGACTGGATTTGTATATGAATAAATCCAGGGACCACAAAGGCAGAACCACAAAAAGAAGGCAAATCATACCAGAAATACTAAATTTCCGTATTCTATTTTCTAACCTCAAACATCTATGCTTCTAACTCTCTCAGACCCCCGTTTTCTGGTCCTTGACTTGACGTCATAAAGATGTCCAGTCTCTTCATATTTCCATAGACACCAAGTCTTCAAATGCCTTCATGCCTTCCCTCCCTACTCAATCTGTATGCACGTTTTTAAAGCCATGAACTTTTCATTCATACCTTCATTTTATTCAAAAAATCTAACCCTCCAAAAATGTCTGCTGTCACAAATATTCTGCTGTCATTAAGAACACCACCTCAGGATAATGTCATACCACTGTGCACATCAAGATGTCTAAAAATTGTGTTATCTACATCTGTCTGTTCCTCCTTCCCTTCTGTATCAAAAGATGAGGTGTCTGCCCTGCAGCTCAACCATCATTGAAGATGAATCCCTTTATCTGTGCTTTCGAAAGCATCCTCTATAGGCCTTGGCTCTGTGTATTAACCTCTCCCTCTTATTATCTTCAATTTCTCTTTGTTCTGGCTCTTCATTTTTAGCACACTATTATGCTAAATTTTCTCTATTAAACTCCTTTAGCTCCATATCTTCCTCCTAGCTTTGACCTACTGTTTTCCTTCTCTTAACAGCCAAGACATAGCATTATTCTCCACATCTTCACCCATCATTCACTCAGCCAATGCAATCATAGCAAGATTCTGACTCTACAAAAAAAATTTTTTTAAACATTCTGGCATGGTGGCATGCCTGTAGTCCCGCCCACTGGAAGGCTGAGGTGGGAGGACCATTTGAATCCGGGTGTTCAAAGCTGCAGTGATCTAGGACTGTGCCACTGCATTCCAGCCTGGTTGACAGAGTGAGACCCTGTCTCAAAAGACAAACAAATAAAATCAACATATAATGAATTAGCAGGAAAGGAGAAGAATTTCCAGGCCAGAATGAGACCTAATTAAAAATATCAACAAGGGGATTGGTCCATAAATTAGCAGTATCTATCTAAGAAAGAAGGTACCTCAGCCAATGGACTTTAAGAATTTTAATTCTATTGTAAAGAATACACTAGGCTGGTAAAGTGTCACCCCAATTCTATAATTTCCCTCATTTTGGGTCCTTCTGATTTTATTTGGCTTCTCATGTAGATTGCATGAAGCTCTGATAAAAAGGAAATCTCTCATTTCAGAATTCAGAGCTGGAGGTACAGATTAGTTATCCTGGTCAGGATGAATTATATACAGTGAATCTGAAAGTTCATAATTGTTAAGGGCCACACATTATTTTTAATAAAGGAAATCATTCATTTCAACAGTAATTTTATGTCAGGATTAAAAGAAAAAATAAAATACTATTACCGTCAAAAATTCCCATGAAGATGTAGAGGTTGCATCTTTCTCGAATATTAAAAGAGCTTTCTGCATTAAGTAAATTGCTTTGGATAATGTATTCTTCTTTATTTTATTCATTATATTTAATTCTACAAAGGCAAACAAACATTTTACCAAAAAGACGAGATTAAAAACTATCTTTCAAATTTTTTGGAAATACCAGTTATCCCAATTTTAATTACCTGTAAAACAATCAGTGCTTCTAGATTGTTTTAACTTTTCTGGACCCTTGGTAGAAATATCTTTGCTAACAGTTGGAGTCTGCAAAACTGAAGAAGAAAAAGACTGTCATAACAAGTATGTATCCAAGACAGGAAATATTTTTTAAACACTAAGGAGTGACTATTTGTAAAGCTATTGCTTCCTCTATCACGTCATCTTTTTTCATTAATAGATCAAAATTCATATAAATCTACTATAATGCAGTTTTATCAAATCCTCTTTTATTTGCCACAGTATACCTCAGGACATAAGAAATTCCAAATTATAAAAATATTTAATTTTCTAACTCAAATAAAATCACCCTAAAGGTTGATAGAATTCAACCTACTTCTGTTGACTTTACCTTTTCACAAACTACAGATGGCAAGTCTTGATACCAATAACAATATGCTGTCAAAACTCTGTACTCAATGTCCCTTCTAGAAAAATTGTGTCATCCAAAGCCCCTTCAAGAGCTCTGGATACCACACGAAGACCTCCACTCTCCTCCAGCTGTGGCTGATGAAATCAGAGGCTCTCTCAAGATTTTTAACTAAAACATAAACTTACCCGTTGTTGATACTCGTATACAATTGGGACTGACCATCATGGTGGTTCAGTAAAGACAGGAACATGGATCACGGGGAAAAAGGATACAGCTATACTAGCCCAGGGAGATGGAAACTGCAGTACTGATTCTTGATCATCAGGTCTGGTCCTTAGGAGACCTGGTAATATATCTGTCCTTGGTGGTATGCGAGGGTACCTACAGTAACCTTACAATAAATTCCTTTTACTGAGTTTTAATTATTTGTGCTAATGCACATGAGCCACTATGGGATGGTAATGGATTCATGAAAAGATGTTAACAGACACCATTAAAGGATAGAAGGCCTCTGCAATGGCAAAGGGTAAGGAAACATCTGCATGGAGATAACAATGCAGAGCAGAAAATAGTGCATCATTCTCTCGGTACCAAGGAAATTATAAATGCTAGTTAAGCTTTCCTGATTATAATCATTGGAGATAAGAAGAATGAGACTGCAAAATAATTCTGAACGCCAGATACAGATGCATCATAGTTATGTCATGGTCATCAACAGGCAACCATTATTAAATAAGAATGCTAATGTAGGGAACTTTAGTCTGACAACAGCATGCTAAAGAAACACAAGGTAGGGGAACAAAGTGATCAGCTGTGCTAGGATGGCAGTTCAATAAAGCCGAGAAAAAAATTGAGGAAACCCAGAGATATCGCAAGGAAATAATAACTAATTCCATTTACATTTGGACTCAAGTCTTGCATCAATATCTTTAAGTGGTCTGTGATCAAAACTCATTTGGTCTTCAAAGATTTATGAATGACAATTACAGAACAAGCTATTTGGTTAAAAAAAAAAAAAGAGCTATGAGTTAGAAAAAAAAAAAAAAACTCTAATCCTCCACTATATGAGAATCATGGGCTAGTTTCTTAAAACCTGACACAAAAATTCTATTTACATTTTGAAATACATTTCTTAGACAAATCTTTTCAGCCCCAAAAATGTTCAAGGTGATTATTCTAAGTAACTCATTTATGTATTAGAAAAACTATATCAAATTTTCAATTTATACAGGATGACACAAAGATATTTTAATTATGATTTGCTTCCCTCCACACCCAGCAGGTCATATGAGAAGTAGTTTTTGAAACTATGTAAATGTTTAAAATAAAATGTAAAAAGATGACAACTGTAAAAAAATAAAAGGATGGAGAAAAAAGGAAATTTTATATAAACAGAATGCAAGCCTGGTACAGTGGCTCACACCTATAATCCCAGCACTTTGGGAGGCCAAGGTGGGCTGATCATTTGAGGTCAGGAGTTCGAGGCCACCCTGGCCAACATGGCAAAACCCGATCCCTACTAAAAATAAATACAAAAATTAGCCAGGTGTGGGTGACACAAGCCTGTAGTATCAGCTACTTGAGAGGCTGAAGCAGGAGAATCACTTGAACATGGGAGACAGAGGTTACAGTGAGCCGAGATCACATCACTGCACTCCAGCCTGGGTGACAGAGTGAGACTGTCACAAAAAAAAAAAAAAGCAAAATGCAAATACAAAAAAGTGGTCACAAGTATATATCAAATTGAAAAAAAAAATTAAAAATAGAATTAATCCAAGTAAATTTGGACACAGTTCTCTGACGTATGATATTTTCTAAAGACAAAATGAACTGCAAAGAAATCCTTAATTTACTCAGTAGGTTTGTTAATAGTGGTATTGGTTAAATAATTTTGAAAGTACTTTGTTTATTTGCCAGGATAAAACAAATGAGTAATTACATTGATGTTGTTAGGAACCAGAATGCTCAATATGAGAGAAGGAAAATACAAAAATGGAGAAGATGAGAAGAAACCCTTTAGAATTGGAATTGGAGACATAAAAAAAAAACTTGTGGTCAGGCACAGTGGCTCATGCCTATAATCCCAGAACTTTTCAAAGCTGAGGCAGATCACTTGAGGTCAGGAGTTACATATTATGTATTACATATTATGTTTGTATATACTGATAGACTCTTGCATTTTCAAAGTGGACAGTCAAATAATCTAGAAGTAACAGTTTTTTTTTCTTCTTTTTCAATCCTTATATCTTTAAATTATTTTTCTTATCTTCTTTCATTGGCTAGAATTCTCACTGTATTTTTTTTTCATCTTCCTGCACTAATCAGCAGTGTGTGTCACATTGCTCACTGTGAAATTAACTAGCATCCGAATAACTCTATTTAGCTCTATATATAATATGATTTAAATGTTTTACACGCACCTTCCAGGAACTCATTCCTGACTTTCTTATTTGGTATAGATATTTCTTTGTGCCCATAATATTCTGAGCCCACCCCCATTACAAAATGTATCAACCTCACCTGATATATTGGTTTACTTATCTAGAAGCTCAAAAGTAGAGCCTTTCCAATTTGTGCCTAACCAAATACAATGCCTTGATTTTAGTAGGTACTCAATAAATGTTTGCTTGGTTATATTAACAAAAATAATTTACTATAACTCAAACAAACATAATTGATTAAATTTTTTAAGAAGTTTACTAACTGATTTAATATGCAAAGTCTAAAGCAATACTGAAAGGTTTAATTATGTTTTTATTATGTTAATTAGGGAATTCAGAAAAATAATGAAATTTATCTGAAAACTTCAGTCAACAAGAACACAGTTTTCAAATTAAATTGAATCTGTACTGGAGTTGGGCTTAATATTGATTCAGAACAGTTACTTGCTTTGATGACTACTACCTTGCAATTTGTCCAGAAGCACAACAGCTATTCGATGCTGAGCTTGAATTAGTTCAAGATGCAAATCCATCATGAAACTATTTGAGGCAAGTGGTTTGTAAGTATCTCCATCTATATGGTGGGTATGCTTTGGTCCAACAGAGTTGAAATAGAAAGAAATACAGTTAAAACACACAAAATAGCTGTGTGTGTTCAAAACACACAAAAATAGCTGTATACTATTATCACTCAATTTATCATCATCTTATTTGTAACCATCACATTCTGCTCACTTCTCAGCCCCTTGCAGTTAGCTTAAACATTAATAAATATGCCCTTAGAATTCATCAGTGTCTTCTTCATTAACAAATTCAAAGATTCCTCACTGGAACAGGGAAATATGAGGTAAGTCACCACAAGTCATGCTTTACTTACCTACTTACTTTCAAGGGCAGTCCTCTTCCCAGTTAAGTAAAACTTACATCTAATGTAAGACTTTTCCATTCTTACCTTGGCATAGCAGTGGTCAATTACTGATGATCCATTTGGCAAAGTGGTTAACATGCAATTCAAATTTATTCCACCTATTGCTTTGTCAAGAAGTTTATAAGCAAAAAGTAACTGTTCCACAGGATTTTTCTAAAATAATTTTATAAATAAAAAAGAAAAAGAAAACTTAAGCAAAAATCAAATGCAACATTTCCAATTTTTTGACAATAATTCAAAACCAAATAACAGAAATTTAAATAGTCTATCTAACATTAACGATGTTATATTTCTAACTAAATGTATTTATCTGTGATTAAATGTGGCATGCTATCAACATGGATGAAAATAATAAATAAATTTCAACATTTTTCCAAATGCAAATTAAACTTTTCACAAACATGTATTAATATATATAACTTCCATTATGGTTTGCAAAATTCTGATTGTACCAAATGCACATGTAAATTTTTAAAACAGAGTTCACATAGTTCATCACTTTCACATACCTAATTTGATTTTTTAAAACAATTTCAGAATCTCAGACTAGAAATTTAGAGTCCATCAACTCAACCTGTCCACATTAGTCTACATCATGATTTTCAAAAACTAAACTTTTTTAATGTAATCATCCTCACAGACAGACAAATACAGAGAATAATATAAACAGCAGCCAGCTGTGCCCAAACTTTCAAATTTTCCATATTTTCCAGGTCATTAAAGGAAATAAAGCATACAGACATATGCCTATAATTTAAATCCCCCATATAACTGTCCACAGTGCCTCTCCTCCTCTCTACCCCTAGAGGTAGCCACTGTCCTTGAATTTGGTTTTACCATTTTTTGCATATTTTCAAACTTTTACTACATGTGTATGTATCCTTAACCATATGCAATATCACTTTGCATATTTTTAATTCTCTCATAAAATTCTGTAGACTCCTTTTAAAACTCAACCATACATTGCTAAAACTTATTCATGCTGATATATGTAACTCAATGGGTCAGTCAGGGATTGGTTATAAACACAAAAGTACTCTACATATTTCAAGCAAAAGAAGACTTAATACATAGAATTAGAGGTGCCCATCACCATTGCAAGTCATCGGAGAGACCAGATCAAGAAAGCTGCCAGTGACAATTTTGCTTCATGCAATTCTCAAGAGTTTGCTCAGAAGCCTCTGCGAACCTAAGAATCTAGGAGGTAACTAACAACAACCTCAAGCACCTACTACACTGAAGCAGGTGAATTGCAAGAGTTTGCTCAGCATGCCTGGTAAATTCACATCATCCATCTGCCACTGTGGATTAAGAACTGTCTCTTCTCTTCTGCACTACAAAGTCATGCAAATTCCCCTCACTGAAGACTAACTTAAAACTGTACAGAAATGAGACACTGGAAAATACAGTTCCAGGTTTCCCCATTATAATGCAAAGGTGACCACAGAAGGGAATTGCTATGATGCCAAGTTTACTCTAGTACAAGCCTACTCCAGTTCATTCATCCTTACAGCTACAATGAAATGGTATTACAATTTATCCACTCTTCTGCAAATGGATGTTTAGATTACTCTTACTAAGGCCAGGCGCAGTGGCGCATGCCTATAACCCCAGCACTTTGGGAGGCCAAGGAGGACAGATCACCTGAGGTCAGGAGTTCAAGACCAGCCTGGTCAACACTGTGAAACCCTGTCTCTACCAAAAAATACAAAAATTAGCCAGGCGTGATGGTATGCACCTGTAGTCCCAGCTACTTGGGAGGCTGAGGCACGAGAACCACTTGAACCTAGGAGACAGAGGCTGTAGTGAGCCCTGATCATGCCACTGCACTCCAGCCTGGGTGACAGAGTGAGACCCTGTCTCAAACAACAATAACAACAAAAAAAAATTATCATTACTAAATATGCTGCCATCTATTGTACTTGTCTGTGAATAAACACAAAGTTGATGCTTTTTCTTTTTTTGAGATGGAGTTTTGCTCTTATTGCCCAGGCTGGGATGCAATGGTGTGATCTCCGCTCACTGCACCCTCCGCGTCCCGGGTTCAAGTGATTCTCTTGCCTCAGCCTCCTGAGTAGCTGGGATAACAGGCAGGCGTCAGGTAATTTTGTATTTTTAGTAGAGATGGGGTTTCTCCATGTTGGTCAGGCTGGTCTCGAACTCCTGACCTCAGGTGATCCACCTGCCTCAGCCTCCAAAAGTGCTAGGATGAGCCACTGTGCCCAGCCCATAGTTGATATTTTCTTTACAGTTCTTACACATTTTCTCTGCTTTCTTTGTTTACCCATATGTCTAAGACTTCCAGGACATACTGAACAGAAGAATGACAGGTATCTTTATGTCGTTACAACACTATTAAAGGGGCTGCTTTTAATCTTTTACCATAGGTATAGCATTTACTGAAGGTCTTTGGATACCATTTATTAGATACAAAGGTTCTCATTTATTCCTAAGTACTAAGAGTTATTTTTTTAAAGGATAGGTGCTTTTTAAAGAGGATGGTTGTTTAATATTATCAAACGCTTTTTTTGCATCTCTTTGTCTAAGTGGTCACATGTTTTCCTTTCATTAGCTAATGCAATGTATTGCATTATATATTTCTAATGTTAAATCATCCTTGTATTCCTAGAATACAAACAATTTTACACTACATATATAGTATAAAGTCCATTAATCTATGTACTATATATATATGGGGGGG